TATGCACACACACACATGTATCATTACGGGGGAACACGTAATGATTTCTACTAACATTTTGCTTGTAGGTGTCATTTAACTTCCCTAATGAAAAGGCGCAGCTCATTATACATTGTATGCTTGTTGACTTTCCCGCTAACAATGTTTTAATGTATATCGAGTCTTTATTTTCTCTTTCAATTGTATTTGATAAAGTCTCTAAGCTGATTTTGTATTGAAAATAAGGTACGGGCGCGGGTATCAAGGCGGACGACGCAACGAAGCACGTGACAGGTACCAGAAGCGATAGCTCGTGTCCCGTATTTTAAGTCCAATTTCTATATTTTTGTATAGAACTAGGGCTGAGCATGTATATGCGGAGTTTGACCGCATTTCCTGTTTTTTCTTAAGATACATCATAGACCCAGCGACACTGGCTTCTTTTATATATTTGGGAGCGTTTTTACTTTCTATTGTGTGTTTGTATGTTTGAATTATTTTCCTTATTTCTTTCTGATTTATCTGGGATGTCACACGAACTATAATTTAGGCTCATCAAAGACCTTAAAATTATAAATTCTTCACATAAAATCCTAATTAAACATTTAAGACTAATTAAAATTTAATATTAAGAGATTCAAGATGTTAAAATCTATCTTTTAGTTTCTTGCATAACCTTCGGGCCAGATTTTAAATGGATTGCATAGTATGGATGTCACTCAAGCCATTCTGATAGGGCTTCCACACTTAAGTTTGTATTAGATAACCATCATTTATAAGTCCCAATGAGAAGCCCTTATGTTTCTCTCACCCGATTGACCCAGCATAGATTTTTACTTAAGTGGTTATCTAGTGCGTTTAGCTCGTTAGAAAGCTCCTCGATCTAAGGGGTGTGAGTCCTTTTGTTGGGAGTGCTTTCAACTTTGTAGTTGAACCTACCTTTTTCTTCTTTTACAGCAGTGTTCTTCTCATTTATGTTGGTATAAGTCCTACCTCTAGGATAAAGTGATGTTCCCTTTTACTTTTAAAATTTGATCACAACATTTGTGAATATGGTAAACCACACCAGATATCATTAGTTATAGTTTTGGCAAAATTATGAGTGAAAGATTTCAAACAAGCTTTTATTGATATATTTTTTTGAAGCTTTTTTTATAGTGTTTTTAAGCTTTCCAAATATTTTGTGTTAGTATAATTTGAATCCATTTGAAGAGAAGATGATTATATATGTGGTTGTTCTTTCTAATGGGGCATGAAGTTTCAATTTTATAAAAGATATGTATTAGGCCATGAGGCATGAAGTTTTGATATATATACATGATCGTTCTTTCTAATGAATTTCATGTGATTTTTAAGAGATGGTTGGATGGGAAATAATCAACATGCATGAATTTCATGTGATTTTGTGTACAAAATATGTTTCTCTTGAAATTTTTACATAAATCTTGATGGAAAACTCAGTAACTTTGTGGGCCTTCATTTTGAAAAGAAAATTTGAAAGTTGATTCAGTTTCTTTTTCTTTGAGATGAGTTTCTCTTTTCTTTCCTATGTTATGGGCATAATAGAGTGGTTCTTACGTTGATCACTCTTTTGCTAAATCTTTACATGAATGTGAAGCTTACTTTAAAAATATGTGAAATTTCTAAATTTTGGCTTAGAGCAGTTTCTTTTTTTTATACTGGTTTTACTTTTTTTTCTCTGTTATAAGCATAATAGAGCTGTTCTCAAGTTTATTATTCTTCTTCTCATTCATGGGCATAGTTCTCCCTACTGGGTGCATATCTAGTTTGCATGAAATTTCATATGAATTTCATGTGATTTTTATAATCTCATTTTTTGTTATAATTTGGCTAGATGTCACAATCGTGGAGAAAGTTCAAATGATTTAGATTCTTTTTCTTCTCAACAATCAGTGCATATTAACTTTGTGGAGAGAGTTCAAATGATTTAGATTTTTATTCTTCTCAACAATTAGTGCATATTGACTTTGTGGCAAGAGTTCAAATGATATGGGTACAAATATTTCATGTCAAAATGTTGTCCAATATTTCAAATTCCTTCTTGATGTACACATACTCGTGACTATTTTCAAGATAAAAGAAAAATTTTGAAAAAATTTTGAAACAAAATTTTTAGGAATCATGTAAAAGAGTTTATTTAACAACTGATATCTAGTTTTCCATTTAAAGAATCAACTATATGTGTCTTATTGCGCATTACATTGATGAAGGTTTGAAATCGAGCAAAAGAGTAATTAACTTTTGCCCAATTTATAGTCATAGAGAACTTCTTGGACAAGAAGTTAAAAATGGCTTAGTTGATTGGGAGATTGATGCAATTTTTACAGTTGCAGTTGATAACACAAGCTCCAACAATGGCATCTTGGGTAAAAGATGTAAGAGTATCCTTAATTGTAAGTTCTTGCACATAAGAAGCATTGCTCTTATCATAAATTTAATTGTTCAGAATGAGACCAAAGAGGTTTGTTATTCTGTACTTCGTATAAGAGCTGTTGTTAGATTTATAAGACAATCTCATGCTCATCTTCAAATGTTTAAGGAATGCATTGAATTGAAAAAATTGAAAGCAAGAGCTAATTGTGCTTTGATTTTTCTACAAGATGGAATTCAACATATTTGATAGTGAATTCAACACTTAAATTTGAGAGTGCGTCTGAGCACTATAAATTGCTTGTCCCTCAATTTAAAGTTGAACTTAAGAGGGATCAGGAAGAGAGTCATAGACTTAATGGGGTTCTACATGACATTTATTGGGAAAACACAAGAAGACTAGTATGTTTCTTAGAGAAGTTCTATGAGCTTACTTTACGTCTATCCAGCTCACTCTATGTCACATCTGTTGGTTAGCAAAGGTTATTGGGATGCTTACGGACATTGGCGATTGGATTTGGAATTCAACCGAACATTTTCATGTCCTGAATGAAATTTCTGATCTCATTCCTCCTATTGGCAATTTGGAGAGCAATAATGAGATCTGCAGCAACATCAATGCGCTCAACCAACGTAGCTACACAAACAATGCTCAGATATATTTGCTAGGACAATTATGTCTTGGTATTAAGCCTTCGACTTGCTGGTGCTTTATTTATTTCAGAATTCGGTATTGCTTGGATGGCGCATTTCATTGAGGCTGCTGTACAGTCTGAGATCTCTCTATCCTCATAGCAGGCCTTCTTTTTGGCTTTTGCTTTTCTTTGTTGTATTTCGTCTCTTTTCATTGAGGCCGTTGTATAGCTAAAATAAACAATAATTGTAAGTTGGTGCCTTTAAAGACCAAGTTGGATGTGAGGTTGGTGAAGCTCAACCAGAAGGCATCAAGGCAAGCAAACAAGTTAGAGAGAGCTCTTGACAATTCTTAAATGCATGTGATATGTATCAATTGAATATCACTTGTTGCAACTAGGTCATTGCTTTTATTTATGTTCTTTTTATTTTTATACATCAAATACATATATTGTGGTTTATCAAAAATCAAAGCGTTCAAACCAAATTAAACTTCTGTTTGATCGGTTCGATTATACCAAAATTATACTTGTTTTCAGTAGTACGGTTTCTAGATTTCAATTTAGATTGGCTGGCCCAACTTTAAAATCGATCCATCCAAACATACCGAATGCACATCCCCAGGTATAAACATAAAAAAATAAACTTTACCTGTTAGATATGTAAATACATAGGAATTAGGAGATACGTACGCAAATGTTCCTTTTGTATTTTAACAAAGACTTTATATTAGTACCTTTTTTTATAAGAAAAACAGGGTTTACTTGTATAGGATAATGTCATCACTATTGGAACTGTTGAGGCAAGCAAAACCTATGTTTTAAAATATATAAAAATAATAAGTATAAATCAGGTAAAACTGTAAAAGCATAGAAACTTATTTATATATTTATCTAAAAGGAAGATTTACATACATACCACTCAATTCCTATGCATTCACATATCCAATGCCTAAACTTCAATATTTTCATACACATCACATGCATTTCACAATTTAAGAGTTGAAATGATGATATCTTTATTACATATGAAAGATTTATATGGCATTTGCTCTGCAATATAATATAAGAATTCCAACCACCAACTATACCGCTATTTAGGATATGGAGTCTCCACACAAGTTATGTCCGGACAACTGCTGCAATCCACCGGAAAGAGCGGATAAAAAGAACACAGCTTACGCCCAGACTCCGAACGTAATATTTTTTTTGCTATTTAGTGCACCTAACCGCCAACACAGTGAACAATAGCAGATTTTCCACGAGCACTTAGGGTCCGTTTGGGGCAGCTTATTTGATGCGGTGACGTTTTGAAAACACACCTGACCTGTTTGGGTAAACTGCGTTTTGTCAACTTATGCATTTTCAAAATGTTAAAAACAACGTTTTCACGCCGCACATGTCTAGGTGCGGTGGCAGCTTTCTGGCTGCGGTCTGGCTTTTTCAAAAAAATAAAAATTTGTAATAACTGCCACATTTAGCTTATCAATAAATTATTTTTAATCAGCTTATCAGCAGATTATTCAATAAGATGCAACTCCCCCAAACAGACCCTTAACCTTGGCTAATTTGCATACATAACACCCAATTCTTATATACTTACATATCTAACATCTAAATATTTCATATCACATCAAAAAAAACCACCATGTTCACTTTAAAAAAATCATGAAGGCATAAAACCAGTAGTTCAAGCCAATCTGATTACAATGAACACAAAATAGGAAATAAATAAATAAATAAATAAATATGGATTAAAAAACTGTATTAATTTTGAATGTGGTTTATATGATGTAAAATAAAAATGGCATTTACTTACATACCACCCAATTCTTACGTATTTACATATCTAACACTAAAAAAATTTCTTTTTTACATCTATACCACCCAAATCTTTCATATCACAAAAAAAAAATACTCCTATTTTAATTTTTAAAGTAAGGTGGCATATATGTAAAAATTATAATTTAGATATTAGATACGCAAATACATAGGAATTAAGTGGCATCTATATATATCTTAAAAAAAATAAAATAGGATTACAGATCACAGATTGCAGTCAAGAGTCATTTCTGCCTTTTTCCATACAGCTCTCTGAATCACAAAATTTCTACTCACTGAAACCCCTCCTGCAAATGGCCAAAAGGATTACAGCTCCATAAATCACACAAAAACACATGCAAATCCACATCACAATCTCCTCCCAATCTTTGCAAATCCCCTCACAACACCAAAAATGATGGCCTTGGTGATCAGCCCGCGATCGACCGTGCAGACGAGCGCCAGAACTCCGCCGAGGAGAACAAACTTAGACATATTGCTCCCCAATGGCTTCTTCTCAGCTTCTTCAACAATGTCATCAGATTGATCATGGCGATGCCCGAGCGACTTCAGGTACCCAGGAGTCACCTTGGTGTTAATATGTGCCATCAAGGCGCAGCGGGAAAGCGGCTCGCCGGACTTCCTGGCCGCCTGGTATGCGCGGAGTCCAGGTTCGATCTTCTTAACACAGCCCCACATGCCTTGCCGGACACCGAGCTTGGCAATCTCCCAAGGGATGCCCATGTCTTCATAGTGGAATAGAAGAACCTCGCAGGCAGTTAACTGACCATCGCCTCGCCGCGATTCAGCTGTGAATAATGGAAATGTTGTAACTCGTGCGGAATGTTGAGAAGGCGAAGATGGGTGGCTTCTTACCGGGACGAATGCACCAGCTGGAGTAGTAGAGGTCCACACGCCTGGATTTACTCCGGCGAGGTATGGAGGAGAGGGGTACTCCCTGAATTATTCATTAGAAGTCATTCTTTTTTGAAACAGGTGAAGTATCAAGAGCATGTTTGATTGTGATATTGCTAATTTCCAATACAACATACCAAGTTCTACAATGTTTTTCTTTTGTTTTTTATGGTTTGGGAAATTTACATAAGCACCACACAATTCTTAAGTAATAATGATATTTTTCGTGTGATGTTAAGAATTTGAGTGCTATACGTGCAAATATGAAAATTACGTGTTAGATATATAAATACGTAAGAATAGTTTAGTATATATGTAAATACCCCTTTTCTAAGTAAATGAATTTATTTTTAAAACAAAAAAAAAATAGACTTGATATGCTTTGAATGTTTTTAAAAATAAATAAATATGTTTTATTACAAATCAAAATAGGCAAAATAAAGTAAAAAATTTAAATGAAAATGACAGGTGAGTGGCATGGTAGAATGCAAATGAGGGATAAAGCATGGCTAAAACAGTAATTTATACAGAAATTAAAGATGAAATTCGAACAATATCGGATACATCATTTCTAAAAATAGAAGCATTTACACACACAGCACACAATTCTCATGTATTTACATATCTCATACCACAACTTCCACATTTACACACAAAACATGCAAATCTTTAATATCACATCAAAAATAGTACTATTATCACTTTTTAAGAGCGAATTACACATTTTCATGCATGAATTTAAAACACAAAAGAGCTATGTATGTAAATTTGAAAATTTAGGATTGAGACTGATATATATATATATATATATATATGGTAGAGAAAGGCAATGACGTAACATATACCTGAAAAATTCTTAGGTGAAGATATCTACAACTAATCGTGCGGTGTGAATAAAATGCATACTAGCAGCTGCACAAGTGTTTGTCAATCTCCACATGATTTGTGCAATTATATTGTACTGGATTTTGTCAAATGCTTATAGCGGCTTTATTGTTACAGTACAACTTCATTAGCATGCTTAATGGGATCTGTAGCTCTTCAAGGATTCTCTTCAATCATATAATCTCACATGATTCTAAGTCATAAGCCTATATTCTGCCTCGATATTGCTCTATCAATCACATTCTATTTCTTACTTTGCCTTGTAATCAAAATTGCCCGACATAAGTGCAGTATCCGTAGCACTCAGAATTAGCTCAAAAAAAAATTTGATTCAAAATTTTTGGCTCGTAGCTCGGCTCATTTATTTCAATCCGAGCTAAAATTTGAATCAATTTTTGAGCAATTAATAATCTTCGAACTAAATTCACTAAATTCAATGTCCTAACATAAGTAGTGTCGTTAACGATCCGATTTCAAGCCGAGCTAGGGTCGGCTCAAAAAAAAATTCAATCCAAAACCACATATTGAAGTATTTGCATATCTACGCAATCACTCATTCCAGTTTCCTTGAGAAGATCAAGAACATACTTCCATTAGAAAATAACAATCCATTTCTTCGATCTAGTAACTTCCATGCCAAGAAAATACCTTGGAAATTATGACTCCATGATCTCAATAACTGATAAGAGGAAAGCGTTCAAATGGTTTTTATCATATAATATATGTTGTCTCTAGTAAATATTATGTCGTTCACATACACAATCAGTATAATTATCTCCCATTTTATGAATGTTTAAAAAATATTGTATGATTTCCTTGCATTCGAGTATACCCCTGACTTTTAACAAATAAAATAAATTTCTTAATCTGCAGTCTCGGTGATTATTTTAACCAATATAAAAACTTCTTTAGTTTACACATCTTTGTGCTGAACTTTTCAATAAATTCTGGAGTTGCATCCATTTACATTTTTTCTTCTGAGTCTCCATTAAAAAATGCATTTTTCACATCTAACTATTGTAGGAGGCAATCAAGATTCGTTGAATGTGACAGAAGAACTCTTGTAGAATTTAGTTTTACGATTGGACCAATGTCTTTAAATAAAGAATGCCATAAATTTGACTTGAGTCTTGTGCTGTTCTAAAGAGCCATCAGATTTATACATGATTGAAAACACCTATTGCACCATAAAGTTTGTTTTACCTCAATAACAAACTTTTATCCCACCAAGTAGGGTCGGCTACATGAATCATTTTTTCTCCATTGCGTCCATTTAAGTGTCATGTTTTTATTTAATTATAACAATTAAGAACATTTTTTATACAATATGCCCAAGTATTTCTTGGTATACCTCTGCCTTTCTTAACATAAGTCAAATCTAAAACAGCTACTCTCCTAATTGGATCATCAGATGGTTGACATTTAATGTGACCAAACCATCTAAAACAACTCTCTTTAATTTTGTCCGTCACAGGAGCTACACCAACCATATCATTGGTAAATTCATTTCGCATTTTGTCTCTAAGTGAAAAGCCACACATCCACCTAATCATTGGCAACACTTAACTTAGTATTATGCTTCTCTTTTAAAGGTCAACATTTAGCGCAATAGAGCATTACAGGTCTCACCACTATCTTATAAAATTTTCCTTTCAGTCTAAATAGTACTTCTCTATCACAGAATAGGCTCGAAGCATTCCTCCACTTCAACCAACTGACTTGAATTTTACTAATAACATTCCCATCTATATCACCATCACTTTGAACAATAAACCCGAAATATCTAAAGTGTTCACACCTTTTAATAATTTGATCACCCATAGTTACAATTCTGGCACTAGAGCTACTACTACTAAAATCACATTCCATGTATTCAGTTTTAGTTCTACTTAAACGAAGGCCTTTAGACTCCAATGTAGACCTCAATAATTCAAGTTTTTCCTGAGCTTCTCTAGTCTTATCCACGATATCCACGAGAAGGATATCAAGATATCAACAGCAAAAAGCATAGACCAAGGTACATCCTCCTGTAAATGTCCAGTAAGAGCATCCATAACTAAAGCCAAAAGATATGGGCTTAAAGTTGATCCCTGATGTAATCCAACAGAAATAGGAAAATATTTGGTCAATCCTCCTGTTCAAATGCAAATAACAGCTCTAGTATACATATCTTTAATGACTTGAATATAAGTCAGATGAACACCTTTCTTCTCAAGAACTCTCCAAATGATATCTCTTGGAATCTTATCACAAGCTTTTCCTAAATCAATAAAAATCTTATGTAGATCCTCTTTATTATCTCTAGACTTCTCTATCAAACCTCTTAATAAATGTATAGTTTCAATAATAGACCTGCCCGACATAAATCCAAATTGATCATGAGAAATCTTTGCAATACGTCTTAAACTATGGTCAATTACCCTCTCTTATAATTTTAAAGTATGACATCAACTTAATCCCTCTACAATTTGCACACTCTTTTGCATTTTCCTTAATTTTAAAGATGAGGATCAAAATACTCTTCCTCTGCTCGTCGGACATCTTTTTAGTTTTTAAAATAATATTAAAAGTTTAGTAAGCCAAGAAACTCGCAAATCTCATATATATTTCCACACTTCAATTGGAATATCATCAGATCCTACAGACTTTCCACCATTTCTTTTCCTTAAACCCTCTTCAACTTCCTTTTTAATAATGCAAAAATAAAAATGAAACATATTATTATTATTAGCGATATTAAGATCACAAAGTTTGATCGTATTTTCAAAACTTCATTAAAACATTTATCAAAATAACTCACCCACCTATGTTGAATATCATTTTCTAAGAAAAACACTTTTGATTTTCATCTTTAATACACTTTATTTGAGTTAAATCTTTACTTTCTTTTATCTTTGTTTGGCTAGTTTATACATATATTTTTCACCCTCCTTAGTATCTAATCTATTATAAAAATCACTAAAAGCAAAATTTTTAGTATCCCAGATTATTTCTCTTAGACTCGCTACAAGTCATTTGATTCCCGTTTCTCTAAAGTTTTACATTTAAACAAATTTTTATAATATAATTTCTTATATTTTATCTTTTCTTGCACATTATCATTCCACCACCAACTATTTTTTATTTATAGAAACTTTTTCTTTTGATTCTCCAAATATATCTTTTGTCACTTGTTTAACAGCTTTTGTTACTTTATCCCGCATAAAATTTACTTCTTCATGAACATCATAAATCTTGAAATCTTGAATTTTACTCAAAAATAATTTTATTTGTGTCTTTTAGATACCTCCATTTAATTATACGATAATGATTCCTAGTATTCTTTATTTTGCAATTCTTCATCTTAAAATCTAGAACTAATAATGGAGGATTAGTACTTAAAACCTCACTTAGAATGATCTTACAATCTTAATATTCTCTGCAATCATTTCTTCTCATAAGAAAATAATCAACTTGTGTTTAATTAGATCCAATCTTATAAGTAATAATATGTTCATATCTTTTCTTGAAAAATGTATTAACAATAATAAAATCAAACGCAAAAACAAAATCTAATATGACTCTACCTTCTTCATTAATCACTCTAAAACCATAGCAATCATAGCAAAAACCATAGCAATCATGAATATTTCTAAAATCTTCTACCACTCTACCGATATGTCCATTTAAATCTCCTCCAATAAAAATTCTTTCTTGAAGAGGTATCATTCGTATTAAGTCATCTAAGTCATTCCAGAATCTATCTTTAAAACCTATATCTAAAACTACTTGAAGAGCATAAACACTTATAATATTAAAAATCTTGGTATCAACAATAATCTTAAGGGTTATGATTATATCTTCAATTCTATTAATTTTTACAACATTATCTTTCAAACACTTATCTATAATTACACCTACACCATGTCTAGTGCGACGCTTACCCGAATACCAAAGTTTAAAACCTAAGTTATCAATTTCCTTAGTCTTTTCTTCAACACATTTAGTTTCTTTAATACATAAGATATTTATCTTTATATGAATGATAATATCAACTAATTCCATTAATTTATCAGTGAGAGTACCCATATTCCAAGATTGTATGCTAATATTAGTTTCATGAACTAAATATTTTACTCGCATTTGTCCGTAATGTGCGAACCCTCGCTTATTTGACAC